AGCCCAAAACCCTCTTCTAACTATTATGTTACGGCCCCCACGCATCCTAGCTTGGAGTTGAAATGTGGCCCACAGCGGTGTGTTTTTGAGCAACGGGCCCTTCCACGACATGAGGAGCTCTGAGCAGCTCGAAAGAAAAGCGTGGTCAGGCCATTGGGGTTTGGGGTTTAGGGNNGGGTTTAGGGGTTTGGGGTTTAGTTTTTAGGGGTTTAGGGTTTAGGGGTTCAGGGGTGTAGGATCTAGGGGTTTAGGGTTTAGGGGTTTAGGGGTTCAGGGGTTCAGGGGTTTAGGGGTTTAGGGGTTTAGGGGTTTAGGGTTTAGGGTCTAAGAAGTCTGGAAGTCCGGGGTGACGGGAAATGGCGCTGCGAAGTCTTCCGCTTCACACAGTTCTGTGACGCTTCACCGTTCTGCCACTGCCGCATCGCTACCAAGAAAGCCCAACTAGAGCTACGATACGGGTTCTAGCAGGGTTCTAGGATACGGGTTCCGGGGCGGATTTCATGTTCAGGGTTTAAAGGATGCGGTGGATTTTTGGCTTTGAGACAGGTTGCGGGCGTCAGGGATTTAGGGGTTCAGCGCGGCTTAGTCAAACTAGTCAAGTTATAGTACAGAGCCCTAGTCCGATTCGGGCCCCTGTATCACAGTGGCCATAAACCCTAAACCCCAAACCCTAAACCCTAAACCCTAAACACAGTACCAGAGGTTCAGTCGTAAGATGAAGCCTAATCAGGCTTCAGGGTAGCTCCGAAAATTTGCGGCTTAGGGCTGTCGAGTTGTTTACTTGGGTTTACAAATTTAGGAGTTTCCGAAATTAGAGGTACCTTATTTTGGGGTCCTTATAATAAGGATCCTACTATTTAGGGTACTATATTAGGGTCCCCTATTTTCGGAAACTCCCATTTGGCTTATAAGAGTTTAGTCTAGGGCTGAAGGGGGTTGACCTCCAAGCTCTCGGACCTTGGACTTCAAATCCATCCTTTCAAACTCTCAGCCCCAAGCCCGAATCCCCAGGCCTGCATAAGCCGTTTAGGGTTTTTAGGGTTTAGGGTTTAGGGTTTATAGGGTTTAGGGTTTAGGGTTTAGGGTTTAGGGTTTAGGGTCTTAAAACTCAATTCTGGTAGATGCCAGACCCCGATTCGGCTCGGCGTGAACTGATCAAACCTGAACCCCTCAACCCCTAAGCCCTAACCCCTAACCCCCTAATCCCTAACCCCTAAGCCCCTAAAAACCCTAAACCCCTAAACCCCTAGTCCCTGACCCCCTAAACCCCTAAACCCTAAACCCCTAGACCCCTAAACCCCTCAACCCCTAAAAACCCTAAGCCCAGGCTTGTCTGCGGCAAGTCGCTCTCTTCTGGACAAGAGCTGCTCAGCTTCGAGGATTTGGGGCTAAGGGCCTCGGGGTTTTGAGGGCTGTTAGGCTTTTTAGGGTTTTGGGTGTTCAGGTTTTAGGGATTGTAAGGTTTTGGGCTTAGGGTTTAGGGGTTTCAGGGTTTAAAGTTTAGGGCTTTTAGGGTTTAGGGTTTAGTGACTTAGTGTTTCGGGTTGGAACCTAGTATAGGTTGGGGGTGAGGCTTCAAGGATTCAGACCCAACACTCTTTTTAGTGGGTTGGGGCTTCTACGGCTGAGGGTTTCTTGAAGAGGCCTTGGGTTTAATTCGGGACCAGGACTGCCTTTCGTCGACGTTTAAGCATTAAACCCTGAACCCTAAACCGCAGTGTAGCCTCAGAGGCGTAAACAACAAAAGGGTTGATAGGGCCAACAAGCCGGCTAATCGCGACCTTGAACTCGCAGTGCATATGCCAAGCCCTAGAAATCAGTCGAGCCCTACACTTGGCCTCTTACATAGTCGAAGCTTTAAAACGGCCATGTGAAGTACCATATTCACCCATGTGTATGAATATATATATATATATATATATGTATTTATATACAGACATACACACATTTCTTGCATACACACCTGCTAGTTGTGTCTATATTTGGTTTCTTTGTTAAGGCACAAGCATATACATGTGCCACTGGACTGCCATGGAACTCACCCAACAACCCAAACCACCAGCCACAAAGACCTACCCACATATCCTCGGTGACAAGAGTTGCAATACACAGTCATAACTATGGACTTCCTGAAAGAAGATGGAGGAGACTTAAATCGGACGCCCACCGTCTCTGAAGAACAAGATCCCAACCCCTAAAACCTAACCCCCACCCTCCGAGCGTCTACCCTAAACCCTAAACCCTAAACCCTAAACTCTAAACCCTAAACCCTAAATCCTAAACCCGTAGCCTAAGACGTCGCACTGAGGCACAGAGGGCAGAGGATGCTTTGGGACTCCAGGCCCCGTGGCTTTCGGGCATTTCGGTCTTAGGGTCTTGGGTTTATGGTTTACTTACCTGTTGCTTCCATTGATACGTTAAT